TGAGGAATAGTAGAGCTAGAAGCCCCACCACCACGCCAGTGATAACTCGATTGACAGGGAGCAGAAACGCAACCAGTCCGGTCAAGAAGAGAAGCAGCGACGCATGGAGCAGCAGAGGGATCACCTCCACCACTGCGTGCATATTGAAACGCTTCAGGCCGTAATACAGATATGAGAAGATGCGCGCGCGGACGACAGGCGCGGAGCGCATCTCGGATCTGTGCAAAAAGTCGCGTGCCCATTGGTCAAGGAGGGTAGCAATGAGCGCAGAGCTCAAGCTGAAGCCCAAGCTGACGAACCACAGCGCATTGCATACAAGGGAGGTGGTCGGCGGAGTGAATGGAGTCGGAGGAACCGGCGAGAAGGCGCTGCTATTTGCGCTCGCTGCAAGCTGGAGAGATATTTGCGACAAAAGTAGAACCGTGGTATCGCCAGAGCTCGGAGAGAGCGTCTTGTAGCTCTCGATCAAAAACGCCGTCAAACTTGCGGAGAACAGACCCGCCTGGGAGGAGTTCACATCAAGCGTCAAGATGGCTAGGACTACACCCACGAATATCAGCATGCCGCCCATGTCGCTCTTCCAGCTTTCCACAAGAGCCTTGTCGTACTTTTCGGCCTCCGAGATGTAGACGGTCCATAGTTTTGCTGCTGCTGCTTCATCACTTGTATTTAGATCTGGCGGTACATATCGGTGAGCATCTGATGCCACCAGGGCATGCAATCGCTTCTTACCCTCAACTCTCAGACCACCCTTCTCTAGGTCGCCCATAGGTCACTGCACGAGGTGTGGGTTTGAGGTGGGTTTAGAAGCTCGGTGGCAGTGCTTCCCCAAATAGCAGCAAAGCTGTGTAAGAAAGTCAGATTTCTCACAATCAGCGGAGCGGAGAACATTTGGAGAACATAGGGCTTTTTTCTCGGTGAGGAGGACGAGCGAGGATGGATGTAGCTTTGCGCTGTATGGACCAAAAGTACGCATCGAAGACAGAACATAGCGCGCGCCGCGGATGTGATGAAGCGGGCAACGAGTCGGCACGGCACAGCACGGACATCACCGAAACCGCAAAAAACTTGCAAGATCATGCGAGACCTTGCAAGCGCCACATTCGGCATAATCCACGATTAGATGCCAATTATACCAAACCAGGGCTTACCAGGCACCAATTTTCTTACAAGGCTGACCAGCCCGGTGATGCCATTTGTTGCGAAAGTACAGAACGAGCCCAGTGGCAGTGCCCGGCATTGATGCGTTCGTTGATGCGCTGAACTGATGGCCGACTACGGCCGATCTCAGCCGATCTTAAATGCGCATGAACCATCCTCAGTATTTTCCGCACAAGTGAACAGAAATTACAACTGGATACCCACCGCTCCGTCTGAAAGCATTACGGAAGGGGCTCGCCACTGTCCAGTTTGGGTTACATGCGGGACATCAAAAGCTGTCCCCTGAGACCTCCCAACACCCAAGGCTCACTTGACATCTCGGAACTCGTAGTTCATGCAAGGGCTGAGGTGGCCGAAGGTCAAGGTAAATACTGGCGCACGGCTCTTCATACAAGTTGAGAAGGACAAGAGCCGAGGCACTGCCACTGATCTTGCGGTGCCTAGTGTTCTCAATTGAAGTACCTGTAGCATATGGAATGTTCATTTTAGAGTTGATTGTACACCAACGATACCTCACGTACATTGTTCAATGTTCCCAAACCAAAAGTGTGCAAATATTTTTTGACAATAAATACCGCCATAGCAATGTTCTCAGCCATCTTTTGTTCGGCAAAGAAATCCTCATCCTGTGTGTGATATGCCCTTGGGAGGACTCGAGATATATGACATTCACTTTGTACATTTAGCCATTCACACACACTTTTGGGTTCTCTTTCGCACACTTTTTTCCTTTCACACACACACATTTTCGGCATTTTCTCTCATACATTTCCAAAACACACCAAAATTTGCTCAACTCTAGTTTCTCACATTGACACATGTTCTGTAATGTATACCGGTCTGAATAAGGCGGACAGATTCAGTCCCTGTGCCACTTCTTCCGAGTTGAGCTTCTGTGCCGACATTGAAATATTTTGTTAGGCGGAAATGTACGACTTAAGAATATGAGGAAAAATCGAATAAACAGACGACGAGGAGAACTCCAATACGCTGCGAACACTAATAGTGACAACAGACCCAGATCTGTTGGTGTCTGAGATGGCCGAATTAAACGGAACATCTTTACCAGATTTCCCACGCAGCTGTCTTAGTTGACCAGCACAAATCTACCAAGTCAGTCCCGTGAAAAATTGAATAGAGTGCCTCATTTTCTAAGGAGCACTATAACAGCAGGCTGCGATTTCAGTGAACAAAATATTGCAACCACAAGCCCCCAAAATGATTTTCCAGTTGAACCCGCTTAAGCTTCAATGTCATACACGGCGGAATCATTCAAAACTGCAGCTATGCTGCTAATTAGATCTACTTCGACGATGACTAGGCTTAAAGCCGACTTGTCACCACTTTTGATTCAACCACTTGCATATACACGCGCGACATGCTGTATATATCAACCTAGTCGGGTATTGGAAGAACAGCTCGTAAGCTCCACGATTCTCAAAATAGGGACGTTGTTCTCGGCGGTACGCTCACAACGCGGTGGGTCCGCAAGTGCGTGCGCGGTTGCGCTTATTGAGGACACCAATCTCTTATTAAAGGCCGAAAGCTGAACATTTAATAGTTCTGCGAAGATTATTCGGCGAACGAGCTCGCTCAAATGCCTGTTCTGCTACGAGCGCGCTTGTAAGCAGGTACGTTCATTGGAGGAAGAGCAGACTAACGGGAACGAGGGATATTGTAGGTAGAGCTCAGGACAGAAGTGTATATGCATAACGACGGCGGGTATTCAACGAAGGCACACGAGACATGCCGGAGAACGAAGGGTGGGAGGGACAAACTCGCGCTCGACGACGAGACGAGGCGGATTCGGATGGCAAACGAAGAAGGATTGAAAGCCGCGCAATCGCAAGCGGGGGCGTTCCGAGTCAGAGCAGCGCACGTCCTTCACCCAACTTCGAGGCGCACCCTCGTTCCAGACGGTGGCGCGGGATCGGGGCGATACGAGCGACTTCTACGTGGCGGAGGAAAGCCCCAGCGGGCGAGGGCAGCCTAACCCTAGCCTTAGGGCACGACAGGCGGCGGATTCTGCGATAAAAGCGTGCCCCGGAGGCGTGGAGGAGCAGCGGGGTCATTGGGTGGGGATCTACTATGCGCGCAGGCGTCCATGAAGCTGGAATGAGGCTAGGTGAGCAGCCGAAGCGGCGAGTGTGCCAATGCATGGGCTCGATGGCACTTTGGGGTCCGCAGTGCGCTGTGCAGGCTAGAGCACGTGTAGCGACCGACGCACGCACCCCATATCCCGTATCCCGCGTATCCCCCGCGCGCACCCACCGACCCACATCCGCCTCTGCATCTGCGGAACCCCCTCCTCCGACTATATCTGCAGGCCCGTCCAGGAATCCCGGGCACGCCGGCGCCGTGGGCTACGACTTCACGCGTTACGACCCAGACGGACAAGAAAAACAACGGGTGTGGATCCGATGGCGCTTGGCGCAAGCCGGTTCGCTCCATCTGCGGCCCCCGCGCGTTTCGAACTCGAATCGGCGCGGAGACGTCGCGCCGCCTTTCCCTCACGTGCAGGGGTGCGGTGACGGCGCGTCCACGAAAAGCGCGGTGTCCAAGAAGGAGCGGAGACGGCGGACGATCGCGGGCAGTGCCGCCTGCCCCCCTCCGCGTCTGTACGAGGGCGCAGGCGACGGCGCATCCTTGCGAGTTCGCGGCGACCACCCGGCCGGGGTGAAGATTCCCGGGCGTCCCGGGCGAAGGGTCTGTCCTTGCGAGGGCGCGGCGGCGGCGCGGGCGAAGTGCAGAAGGGTAAGGGTACGGTCGAGGTACCCATTCCGGCGCGTCCGGGGTGCAGATTCCGGTGCGTCCGGCTGGGGCGAAGAAGGCACCGACACCAGCGCAGTTTCGACAGCGCGAAGGACGTGCACCGTCGACATCGCGAGGCAGCCACTGCGCAACCTCGACGACGAAGGAGCAGGCGCGCAGCTCCGGCATTGGGGCGAGGCGGGGACGGGACGCGTGTCGTGGTGGTGGTAGCGTGCGTTGTCCCGTCGTCGCGTAGTCCACGTCGTCGCCGTCGTCGTCATAGCATCGCTCGGTGTGTCGGGCCACACAGTCCGCCCTAGTAAATCGAGGGACGGATGGTCGTACAGCGAAAAGAGTGAAAGCTTGTTGTAAGTACTCACAGCGTCGACTATATGGGAGCACGCGGTGGCACGCGCTTATGCTTGGCTGGAAATTCTAGGCACGGGGAGGAGCCTCCGACGCGTAGTGGTGATTAATTGCAAGCGAGAAGGTGCACCCAAAATTCAGGGAGAAGAAGAGGAGGAGGGATGGGTGCGCAGAGGGAGGAGGGAGGACGATAGATAGTAAGGCGCTCATCCGAGGATTCCGCAGTGCCATTGCGGCGCACGGCGCATCGCGTCGAACGAGAATCTCCACGCCCGGCGACATCGACTGCACGAGCCCATCAGGCTGACTCGTACCAATACAATCGTCGACGTCGTCTTGCCACAGTCGAAGGAACGAATGAGCCCAGTGGCAGTGCCCGGCATTGACGCGTTCGTTGATGCGCTGAACTGATGGCCGACTACGCCGATCTCAATGCGCATGAACCATCCTCACTATTTTCCGCACAAGTGAACAGAATTACAACTACCCACCGCTCCGTCTGAAATAATAACGATTATTACAGAAGGGGCTTGCCACTGCCCAGTTTGGCTTACATACGGATCGTCATCCACTGTAACTGGGATGCCCGGCGCGACGAGGCGGATGCAATCGCCTTCGTCTCCGCAAAGCGTGCGGCGTTACACGTATACATATAAGACAGCGAGACTCTGCCCAGAAAGAAATGAAAAATAAAAATAAAAATTGACATTTGACTGTTGCGATGCCCTCGGAGGGATTCGAACCCCCTTCACATCGAAGCCTTTACAATAAGCTTGATATTTATGGTGAGTGATGTGCCAATTCACCCACGAGTGCTGTTTTCCTTACCTCTGAACCTGGATAGGTACTGATCCTTTCGCAGTTTCCATGCAGCCAAAAAGAACAAAAAACAGCGGGCACCGTCATTACAAATACCCGCAGGGGGAGTCGAACCCCCGCTTCCCATTCACATTGGCACCATCACATGATATCAATGGTGGGCAATTTTCCAATTCATCCACGAGGGTTATTTTCTCTACCCTTGAAGCTGGATAGGATCTCATCTTTTCACATTATGGAAGAAAAAAAAGACCGGTTGTCTCGCTCACTAATAATGCCTTTGGGGGGAGGATCCGAGCCCCGCCTCCCCTTTCCATGTCCGCGGCGCATTAGAACTCGATGGGCCAAGTACAGCTTTCTTTACCGTTGCGCCTGGACAGTATCTCATCTGTTCACGGGAAGCTTAATGTAAAATGAGCTTCATGGGAAGAAGAAGGAAAAAATTGTCGCTCGCTCATGCCTTACCATCTCTGCATTCGCAGCATCGAACTCGGAAATGGGTGATGTGCCAGTTCATCCACGCGGGCTGTCCTCCTTATATCTGACCCAACTAAAAAGCCTATGTTGTCAGCCGTCTCTTGCAAACTGACAGGCATGACTTTGCTATTTGACCCGCGGTGGACTTCGGTGATTAGATCTATGTCGGAACATCGAACTCAGAGGTACCGACCAAATAATCAACATTCAGTTGACTTCAAGCCCGTTCAGTCGAAGACTGCCCGACGGTGTACTAATGTGCACTGCAAGTGCAAGTACAGTGTGATGGCAGAACTTTTAAGGTCTCTAGAGCTCTACCGTATGCCTTATTGAACGTTCAGCGGAATCCGTGGTCTCTTCGAGAATTCGCTGGCAGGCCTGGTGACGTCGAAGTTCACGCCCCGCATTTTGTGTATGCCTGCACTTTTGTGAACAATTTTGACGTTGCGCACAAGATTCAGACGGAATTCTACGTTCTTCAGCGCCTCCAACCAGAGGCGACGCGAAGAGGTATGAGGCCCTGAAGACCTGGGGAACTTCTTGGAATAACGAGACAGATTTACATCTTGAACATGCCTTGACTTGACAGTTCTGTAACTTGTGTGGTCATGCGCTTTAACCCCCAGACTTGCGCGGTTGTCTGTCAGGTCCAATAAGTTAAATACGAGACTTGTGTGCTACATATGTAGAAACACATCCATTAAGTCGACAAGGTCCCAGCGGAAAGTTATATGTCAGAGGAACCCGACGAACCAGACACCGCAGAGAGTTGTACTGCAGGAGGCTCTGCAATCACCTGGAACATCCGCGTGCGATCCGAGTCGTCAGAAACGCATACAATACCTGATCCATCCTCCAGGCACATTGGGTTACTCCAAATACAGCGGAGATTGGTGCCCACACCGCCAATCATCTGGATCAGGGTTCCAGTGCATATATTGCGCACCTCTATTTGCTCGTGCGAAAAGAGGAGGGCATATGGCCAGCGGAAGGCCACCGCGTAGGCGGGCACTCTCCATTTGACGCGATCTTCTTCTTCCCCGTTCACAAAAGCGCCGAACGCTAGACGGAGTACGAATAATGAGCAATGGACCTCAGACAGATGAGCGTTGCGCACTTGGGTAACAGATCAAGTATATTTTGTCGTCGCACGCGGTGATTCCGATCGGAGGTGGGTTGCCCTTCTTCGATTTGGAATCGGCACACAGGGTGCGGCTGAATGGGCTGTCAGTCGACTCGGAGAACTCTCAGTCAGACCATGTCACGTACTAGTAGATGCGCATAGCCTCGTTGAAGTCCTTTTTGACCTTGGAGACGGGGCAGATGACAACGTCTTCGAGGGTCAAGATCGCCCAGCCGCGGTCTATGAAGCACAATTCAAGCAAAGGCTGAGACCCCTTCTCGTCGTGATAGGCAAAGTCTGCATAACTCTACCAACGAAGCCGTATTAGGGAAGGGAATGCAGAGGAGAGAAATGGAAGCGACGCACAGTTCCAACCTTGGAAAACCATTGGGGGTCATTTTGAACGTTACGTGCAAACCAAGATGGCCGCTTGTGCCCGGATATCATTTGCTCGTTTGCTTCCAGTACCTCGCAGACCATCCCATGCTAAGTAGGACGTGGTGAGCACGTTCGTCTGCGCGATAGGAAACGAATTGGATACCACATGGAGATTCTGGTACTCCCGTCCGGTGCAGCGCCGCAAGTAGACCACAATATTTCTACCGTGAAAGTTGCCAGCGATGAACATCGTCGCTCGATGATTCCAGGGGGTGATTCGGTGGAGCTCGACTTGCTCAGGATTTTCTGCCACGATGAGGTCGCGAATGGCGCACGCCCAGATGGAGCGATGCATAGAGGGCTGGCAAGTCGTCAGACAGTCCTTCAATTATGGACAACAATGTCCCACCAACCTTATCGCCAAGCACCAGAACTAGACCGAGGTCCTGCAACACAGCGCAACGGGTCACATTTTTCAGCGTCATGACCCGCCGTAGGCCTGTCCGACAGACAATGAGTTTCTCTTGTTCCGATTGGAGACAAATAAAGGATATGAACCTCCTCCCCGACGTGAACCCATCCACAGTCCGTCTTCATACCCCAAGAATATCAGTTCGTGTCCGTTGTGCGAAACTATGATTATAACGTGATTACAAGCAAAACTACGGCACGGCCTTAGGACTGACGAAAAGGTTCCGCACAGTTGATCCTCCCCGACGGCGCCGGCGTCACTTGAAGGGTCAAACCGAGTGGTGCGATACCAAACACCTTATTCAAGATCAATATCCGGCGTAGACGAGACGAAATTACAACATGCCTGCACTTCGACCTCTCTGAAGCTATTTGCGACCTCGTACATCGTCGGCCGTGCCGACGGGTCGTGAGCCCAGCATTTCTGCATGGAATCCCAAGTAGAATCGGAGAGATCTCCTTGGGTCATACTAGCAAGAGGTCTCGGTGGACGGGTCCCGGCCAACACATCCGTCATGACTTGGAATTCACTGCGTTGCGTATAGTACGGTATTTCGCCAGTGAACAGCTGGCGATAAATCAGTAAGGTATGGTTGGTGTGCACTTGAATGAGTCACCTCGTAACAAAGGCCCGCGAATGAGTACACGTCGACAGCGGGCTCTTTCCGTAGATATCCGCCTCCGAACTGGCTCGGGTTGAGTACCTCTGGAGGGAGCCATCGCACATTTCCACGCGTGGCACTGGTGCTGGACGAAGTGATCGTGGCCAGCGAGTCGGCTAGGATAGCGAGGCCAAAATCTGCGAGACAGGCATTGCCGCGCGCGTCAATGAGAATATTGGCGCCGCGGATGTCACCGTGGATGATAGCTGGACTGCGTTCATGCAGGTAGACCAACCCAGATGCGACTTGCAGCAGCTAAGGGCAACCAATTCAGCACTGAAAAGAAGAAGTGAGCCTGCATACCAGCGCTTTGCGGTCGGCCGTTGGATGTGATGCAAGGTAGCCTAGTATGCTTCCAGCATCCATCCAGGGTGCAACCATGCATAATCTACCCGAAAAGACAGTTTTTGAGATTCCTAGAAAAGGTAGGATGTTTGGGTGCTGGATCTGCCTCCATATAAGCGCTTCACGACAGAAGTTCTGGAATTCTGTGAGTTAGATTCCTTCATATCTCATACCATGAAAAATAACCTTTTCGACCTCGGAAAGGAGAGCACCTGCGACATGGATACGCAGGACCTTTAGGGCGACCGTAGCGTTGCCTAGGCGCCCTTTGTAAACGTCGGCAAAGCCCCCACCGCCTGCGGGATCCCTTGAATCGCAGACGACGTTCTCGATGAGGAAAGACGTCGGCAAGAGGTGTGATTTCTGGGATAGCTTGAGCAGGCATGCTTCGACGCGTAAAATGAGCTGGTCTGTTTGTCCATCGACCCGTAAGGAATCCAAGGTCAGCAAAAGTCTGTCCATGAACGCCACTGCGTCATTGCCACGGAGTTTGAAGACTGCTTTGCGGTCTTCCTCCGAGAGCAGCAGCTGGTGGAGCTCTTCGACTCGAAAGTGCTGCGACATGGTCTGTGCCAGCAGCTGCGGAAGCTGATCGTTGCAAGTCTATAGTTAGTCGCGCACAAATAGAACCAAACGGACCCGAGACTGATACCCGGATTAGACGCCCAAGACTGGCGTCTAATTGACATCTCACCACGAGATGGAATCCTCGAGCAGCAAATGTTCCCCCGGGCCGTGTCTAACTAATATCCGTGTGGCAAAGGCCACTCGCGATCCAAGCGCCAAGCTGCAGCTCTTTTTGGACCCAACCAAAGCCCTTTGCGCATGAATGCAAAATAAGTTCACATCGTCGGTCTCTTAAGGTCCCCCGTGCCTTCCATCTTGATGAGTTTCCCGCGTCTCATCTCCATCCATCTCTATTTCCGGTCCAAGCGTTGCATCTGCTATTCTTGATCCTCAAGGAATTGGCGGCCGCTTCGTCGCCGCGTACATAGATTTGGTCCTCGGGCGGTGTTGTACGATACCATGATTCCATCTTCAACCTAGGCCTGGGAGGGCCTGGGCTTCCAAGTTTAGGACGCGTACGATGATCAGGATGAATACTTCCACCAGGCACCCGTGTTGATAGGCTGTTGCTGTTATCATCGGTCCCAGCGCCATCTCACGTCGTACCTGTATTTGGAACCGTCTTGCCAATCCGTAATCCTCGACACGCGTATGTGCCCTTCACATCAATATAAATATTGCACGTTCCGATTGTGCGGTTCAAGGAAGGATGCTGCAGTTATATTTTCATACACACGTCTTCATCAGCGCTCACATCTTTCTCCGGCGAATTGAAATTCGAGAGCCCGATACCCCCATCGATGCATTCCATCTACATCTCCGGCTTCATCCTCATGCTCATCATCAGCCTTTTGACATACTTATCCGGTGTCAGGTTTGTTGGCATTTTTTGATGCCAAAAAACATCAAAACACCTGCCAAATCCAAAAACTTGGGCCAAAAACCCAAAAAACCTCTGAACATGTAGTCAATTT